CATTAGAAACAGTGGATGGAGAGTTGCTGAATTATCTTACAGGATTGTGGCAAGCAATAGGTGCAGCCTGGGACCAGTTTCACACCAATTGGAGGATTCCAGAGGAGGAGCCATGACAAGCTGTGACACTGCTCAAACCAGGAGACTGGGTGTTACTCTGTGATTTGAATGGGAAAAGATGGAGGGGGCCACACCAGGTTCTGATGGTGACCCCTCATGCAGTGAAGGTGGAGAGAATCAATGTATGGGTCCACCAAGCCCACTGCAGACGTGTGTCCGACCCTGGTGGTTCTTTCGAGACTGGTCCCCCATAGGACCACAACTGTGTTGCCTTTTCATGATAACCATTTTTGTTGTGACTGTTATATTTGGTATTGCTGCTATAATGTTCTGGAGAGCCACTTTGTCTAGCTGTGTCACACGCTGTACCCCAACGAAGCCAAACCCATGAAAGATTCTGAGTCAAAGGAAAAGGGAGGTGATGGATGCCAAAGCTGTGGAGCTTTTGTCTGAGCGGTGACTGCCGAGCTGAATGTTTCAGATTGATGGGTTGGTCACTAAATGCCGCATACTTCTGCGGCATGGCCTTTTACGGGATTATATATACTTATGATATGGTAGTCTAAATCAAACATGCTCCAGCCCTTTGTCCAGTATGGATGGGCTTGTGACTCGCGGGCATTTCTGGTGTTGCTGTTAAGTCACGAGCAGTGGAGGAGGCCCTTAAGACCACGCATGACTGGATATGTTGAGTATGTTGAAGGCAATCCAACCCAGGCTGATAAGTCAAGTCAGAGGTTTCACCACAGTCCATCCACTAAAGATTTTTTTGACTATATCACTGACCTCCACCCTTGTGATGGGCATGTCCTCCTCTCAGTCCTCTAACTCTACTTCCTCCAAGGAAAGTGTCTCAGTGGGATTCGGAGGTCCTCTACGTTCTCTGTTTGTGATCATTTTATACAGTGAGTCAAACGTATTCTCCCAATTATGTCATATAGATCATACCTCTAAAATTCACATAGCCCCTTCCCTATGGAATTGGTTTCTTCCAAACTTACAGACACACTCAGGACTCTGCTATGCATCAATGCAGCGAGAAGTTAATGGTGGGTTATTCAAGTAGTAGAGCATCAGCATGAAACCTTTTTTCAAACATATGTGAAAATTAACTGCAATTACTTATACATTTTTGTTATAATTATATATTTTGTTATAATTGCATTTCAGAAATATAGGCATTGTTTGCTTTGCAAGATAGTTGGCTGCTACCAGCTAAAGTTCATCCCTCAATCCGGACCTTCTGGCTCACTACTCATGACTGGTTATAGCATAGCATCCTATTTAACATCACTAAAGGGGAACCCTGTGAGTATCATGACAGTGAGCTGAAAGCTTTTACCTACCACCACCATCACAGCTTAGTCAGCAAAACACTGAATTACATTTGTTATCTCCAGGTCAAGACGCAAAGGAAAAATCATTGTTTAAAAAAATGACAGAAACCGCAGTCCCGTCAAATTATAGTAAATTGTGTCATTATCTTCTCTTTTTTTGGGGACGATCCCCCGTACTCTGGGCCCCCTCAGAATTTTGGCTTGCATGCTGCGTCTGCTTGTAATGCAAGAGAAGTTCTGCTGGAGGTATGAACTGAAGTTCTCCCAGATGGGGGCCTCTGCCCTCACTAAACATTTGAATCTACTAGGTCTATCCGACATTTTCCCCCACCATCACATCCAACTCACCACCAGGTAGTGATCAGTTGAAAGATCATTTCCTCTCTGCACCTGAGTGTCCAAGACATATGGTCATAGATCCAATGATATGATTACAAAATAAATTGAGCTATGGCCTAGGGTACTCTGGTGCCAGGTGTCCTAATTCAGGGGCTGCATCCTTCAAAGGCTGCATTTGACGACCAAATGTGTCACAGCAGCACTTTTCGAAGGCACCTTCAAATGCAGCCTAGAAATGCATTATTCCTTTGGCAAGATCCCAAGATTCAAATCTTTGAAGGACGCAGCCTACAAAGGCTACATAGACCACATCCTTCAAGGATGGAGCCCCTGACTTCAGACACAGCCCCTTATGCTTGAACATGGTGTTTATTATGGACAAATTGAGGTTAGCACAGAAGTTCAATAACAGAACCGCTTGGGATCAGATGGAGCAGGTTGATCCTCCCAATCACACCCTTCCAGGATTCACTGTCATTAGCCATGCAAGCATTAAAGTCCCTCTCCAGGAGTTTGGTTCCAGATCCCACACTAACTCAAGCTCCTTTTCCACCAGAGGGGTCATATTCCATGTCCCTAAAGCCAGTTTCAGTGGCGGGGGATAGAATCCTTTGACTGCTGCCCCATCTATAATGCACTGGACCCTTATTGGTCCTCCTGCAGGTGGTGGGTCCCTGTGCGAGAACTTTGGTCGTGGAAATGGCAGTGCAGCGTCCCTGTCATGCCGCACTTGTGAAGCAAGAGCAGGGAGACGGATGATCGGGAAAATATGGGGTTTAATGAAACAGAATGGCAAGCAAACGCAGACTGACTATACAATGAGCGGACTGGGGAAACAAACGGAAACGCGGACTAAATACATTGGGCTAATAACAACGATCAGAAACAGCTGGTCACACGGGGAATCCACACAGGGTTAAGGAGGGGGCGTGGCACACGGAAGGAGCGGGCGATCAGGGCAGGACAGTCCCAGTGGCAAGCATAATTTATAAATATACATGGTGCAAAAGTGACATTAAAACAATATATAAAGATGGCTGACACAAGCCCACTACCAGTACAGCAGGCTTAAAATATCAGTAAGGGGCGGTTCCTCAATTATTAACCAATTTGCCTAACGACCTAGTCATAGGAATGGAACTCAGTCGTTAAGTGAGGAGTTTCTGTATACAGAAAGTGGGGTCTGGGGAAGCAGGAAAAGAATTAAATTCATTTTCATGTCGTTCTCTCTTTAAAACTATGAAAATATGTATTTATTTCTCCCAGTTGCACTAAATATTTATGATGAGCAAGCAAAACTGGTAGCAGAAACATTCATTTTGAGTTCCTTTTAGTTGTAGTGGAATCTGCTCCAGTAAATGTAATCAATTGCCATTGACATTAATGTGAAATATGGCTAAGTTTGCAGGAAGGGGGAATGCAGAGAATATTAATATTAATATTATCTATTGTAATGAGTTGAGAATCATACCCTAGTGAAGTGCAGTTGGGAGAGTGCTTGTACTACAGGTATTCTTACTAACTAAATATAAAGGAAATTTCTCAAAAGAACATGATTATGGGCAATTTCACTGCATGAATTATTAAGTTCATTTGAGAAGTACAGAGGGCAGCCGTGTCTAAAAGGAAAAATGTTTATGGTCAGACTATGGCCTTTACATGAGGCTATTTTCAAAAACTTGACTTTAAAGGCTTTAATGCTTTTGCCTCCAACCATATTTCCTTCTCTGTAATTAGCACAGGTGGAACTAATAAACTCAAAGGAACTAAAAACAGGGAAACTAAGAACTAACCAAGGAATAAGAAACTAACACTGGGGAATTACAGACAGGTAAAGACAAGCAGGGGTCTGTTTCACAAAGCAGGATTACTTGCTTAGCCAGATAACTTGCCAGATTTAAGGTAGTCTGGGCTAAATAGACCTTATTTTCATCAACTTACATTTGGCCCAGACTACCTTAAATCTGGCAAGTTATCTGGCTAAGAAAGTAATCCTGCTTTGTGAAACAGGCCCCAGGGGCACAAATAACAAGACCAAATACAAAATCACCAGATACAAGAACTAGAAACACTAAGGAGCAACATACAAAAACAGGAGGCAGGATTCAAACACAGGACAAGGTTCACAGACAACCACATGCTCAACACATTGAGCCATGTGGCTAGACAGGTAACAGGGAAGAACAAAGACTAACACAAAGAACGGGATGACCAGCAACGCCTGTTGAGGGGAAGGGACACAGAGTAGGACAACAGGGGCTGACCTTGACAGTATGTTTGTATGTAGCCCAATCTAAAAGAAATATGAGTTAGTTTGTTGAATGTGTTTCCAGCAACATATCTGAGTTTGGTGTAACAGAGCCTACAGACAGTCTCAGTCTTATCAACTGTTCTCTCTCCAGTGTTGGTGTAACTAATTGGGAAACCAAAATGTTCCCAAACTGTAGCCAGTTAACTGTAGCCAACTGACAGCAACAGTTGATATAATGTTTTCCATGTTGAACATCTGCTTGTGAATTTAGCTTCTGTCTGTGTCAAGAAGTGTATTAATTTGATCCATGATACTCCCAACTCCCATCAGCGTTCCAAATCAAAAATAATGAAACTGAAGGGCATGCAATGTGTTACAGTACGTGTGAATACCATTACAGCTCTAGTTGAAATCTGGTTGTTTTGAATTCTTGGGTCTAAACTCAAACTCTTTCTTATTTATAAGAAGGATCCAGTGGATAATATATAAAATTAGATAAATAATAGTAACCAGTCCACTGGACACATTTGATTTAATTTGATATCTTCAGTGAGGTTTTGTATCTGATTGTCCATTCTTCAAGATGCAAGAATACTTTATTGTCAATACATCCATATACCAGTACACAGTGCATTAAAATACCATGTACCTTGGGGGCCTATTGATGTTACACATAAAAACAAATACAATAAAAATGCATAACATTGTGAACACAATACAATGGATGGATGGATGGATGCAAGAGCATAACTTTGGGTTGAGCACTGGGGTGGTTGAGGTCTTCACCCATTAAAGGGGGTCCAGGAGGTTGTATTGCCTGGTTTTGATTATTGGGGGTGATAATTTACATCCATGGATGGATGGATGGATGGATGTGCTTTATTGATCCTGACTGGGAAATTGTTCTTACAGCAGCAAACATAAATTACATAACGGCATTCCACAATACACATCACTTGAGTAGTAGAAGAAAGAGTTTGAGATCAAATCTGCCAGCTGGTCAGCACTGTCTACTGATGAACACCCAACCAGGTACTGTATGTTGTCAGGTCTGGCCACCTTCTGTGGGTTGATTCTCCATAGAGTCTTCCTGACATCAGTGGTGGATAGGCCATAGTGCCTGGTCATTCAAAGAAAGGGGAAAGTGATTAGTTGTCATTGTTGACACACCATAGCACACAACAACAAGATGTGTCCTCTGCATTTAAGCCATATATCACATCATGACATAGCAGGGGGCAGCTAATTCATCACCTGGGGAGCAGTTCCTTGCTCAGAGTACCTCAGTGGTATGTTGTTGGTTGGGGATTTGAACCAGAAATCATCTTTTCCCTAACAATTAGGCCTTCACTGCTACCCCTAAAGAGGGGGTGGTCTTCCATATGGATTCCCTTGTTCTGTGCCTCAAAATGGGCATAGAAGTCACTGAGCACATCTGGTGGCAGGTGCAGTTCTGGGGGAGGGGGGGGTAGTGCCCCCATGACAACATACATGGCAACCCCTGTGTCCCCCCTAAATACATATGCTTATTTGGTCTGAAAGAAATGTATTATTACTATTATTATTATTTACATTTATATATGTAGGCAAAAATTTTGTGCACTGGGAACAGGCGAAACAAACGTAAGCACATTTTCTTGACGAATTCTTTACATTGGTGTGCTGGGTGGTCAGGTCACTTCGGTTAGTGAAAAGCAAAGTTAACGACAGAACAAATAATCAAGCTTGTGGAAGCAAGACAGTCTAAAGAAGAAATCAGAGTGAGTTATATAAACTCAGTGACAAAATTAGTTAAGTACCCAGACGAAGTGGTGGAAATTAATTGAATCTGTACGTGATGAAAGGTCATGTGACTGTATCGCAATGATTATAATATCAGATCAAACGGACAACAGAGTTGGCAGTAACACTGCCACACTGCGGGTCCCATGTCAGTAGGGTGTGGATGTGGCACCCCCCAGGCCTGGATACATGTAGTGATATGGTGCAGAAGGGAGTCGTACAGCGTTATATCCTCTCCTGCAGCAAGTCAGCCAACAGCTGTTGTATCTGGCCCTCAAGATCCTGCAAATTGGCACTGGGTCTGAGTTGACGTCCGAGCTAATCCCAAACATGTTCGATTGGGGAAAGATCAGGGGACCTGGCTGGCCACAGGAGGACCTCAGCATGACGCAGACAGTCCATAGACAGACGTGCCATGTGTGGACAGGTGTTGTCTTGTTGAAAGACTGTACCAGGGTGCTGTCTCAGGAGGGGTAAGACATGCGGACGCAGGATGTGACTGACATAGCGCTGTGCCGTCAGGGTCCCCAGAATCACTACCAAAGATAACCTGAACAGACAACAGACAGCATATCGACTACCCCACCATGGACAACATCACACTGGACCACTGTTACACCATTTTAAAAGATGCCTATCGCTCTGTCCCCCGGGCAGCTTTGGGACATTCTGATCACTGTCTGGTCCATCTTATTCCAGTTTACAGGCAACAACTTAAACGTGCCAAGCCTGTAGTCAAAACTGTGAAGAAGTGGACCAATGCAGCAAAGCAGAAAATGCAGGACTGTTTTGACTGCACTGATTGGGTCTTTGAAGCTGCATCTGATAATCTGGATGAGCTGACAGACGCTGTGACATCATACATCAGTTTTTGTGAAGATGTGTGTGTGCCAACCAAGACCTTCTGCAAACACAACAATAAACCATGGTTCACTCCCAAACTGCAACATCTTTGCCAGGCCAAGGAGGATGCCTACAGAAGTGGTGACAGAGCCCTGTACAAGCAAGCTAGGAACACGCTGACCAAGGAGATCAAAGTGGCAAAAAGAAGCTACTCTGAGAAGCTGAAAGAACGTTTCTCAGCCAATGACCCTGCATCAGTGTGGAGAGGCCTGCATGACATCACCAGCTACAGACTTCCTCCGCCCCCCGCTGAAGCAAACAAAGACCTGGCAGACGAGCTGAACAACTTCTACTGCAGGTTTGAGATAAACAGATTCACACCCCCCATCCACCCCACTCCAGAGACAATAACCCCCATCACATCTCTCTCCCCTTCACCCTCCTCCCTCACCCTCCCCAGCCCAGAGTCAACGACCTCCATCACACCCCTAACCCCCCTACCCTCCCCCCTGGAACTCAGAATACACGAAGCAGATGAGAGCCGGCTGTTCCGGAAACAGAAAACCAAGAAGGCACCGGGACCAGACGGTGTATCCCCCTCCTGCCTCAAAACCTGTGCTGATCAGCTGGCTCCCATCTTCACCCACATCTTCAATAGATCCCTGGAGCTGTGTGAAGTTCCCTCCTGCTTCAAACGCTCCACCATTATCCCGTCTGTGGTCATGAAATCCTTTGAACGCCTGGTTTTAGCCCATCTGAAGGACATTACAAGACACCAGCTGGAGTTTGCCTATCGGGCAAACAGGTCGGTGGATGATGCAGTGAATATGGGGCTGCATTATATCTTGCAACATCTCAACCGGCCAGGAACTTATGCCAGGATCCTGTTTGTGGACTTTAGTTCGGCTTTCATCACCATTATGCCTAATCTCCTCTCCTCCAAACTCTCCAAGCTCAACATGTCACCAGCTACCTGTCAGTGGATCACCAGCTTCCTGACAGGTAGGAAGCAGCAAGTAAGGCTGGGGGAGATCACTTCTGAAACACGGTCCCTCAGTATTGGTGCCCCTCAAGGATGTATCCTCTCCCTACTGCTCTTCTCCCTCTACACAAATGACTGCACCTCCAGGAACTCAGCTGTAAAACTCCTGACGTTTGCAGACGACACCACCATCATTGGACTCATTAAGGATGGTGATGAGTCTGCATACCGGCAGGAAGTTGAGCGGCTGGTACTCTGGTGCAGTCAGCACAACCTGGAGCTGAACATGCACAAGACTGTAGAGATGACAGTAGACTTCAGGAGACATCTGTCAACACTGCTCCCCCTCATCATATCAGACAGCCTGGTGTCTACTGTGGAGTTCTTCAAGTTCCTGGGTACCACCATTTCCCAGGACCTGAAGTGGGAGACCAACCTCCATCCTCAAAAAGGCCCAGCAGAGGATGTACTTCCTGAGACAAGTACAGTCTTCCACAGGAGCTGCTGATCCAATTCTACACTGCAGTCATTGAGTCTGTCCTCTGCTCCTCCATCACAGTCTGGTATGGAGCAGCCACTAAACAGGCCAGGAACAGACTGCAATGGACTGTACGGACAGCAGGAAAAATCATCGGTGCCCCCCTGCCCTCCATCCAGGACTTGTACTACTCAAGGACTAGGAAATGGGCAGATAAAATCATTTCAGATCCGTCACACGCTGGACACAATCTTTTCCAGCTCCTCCCCTCTGGCAAGCGCTACAGAACTCTGTTTACAAAAACCACCAGATACAGGAGCAGCTTCTTCCCTCAGGCCATCACCCTCATAAACAGCTAAGCTGTGTCACCTGCCTTCTGTCAATTTCCCCCCTGTTTGCACTCTACCTCGCACCTTAATTGCACAGTGTTACCCACGTGTGTATATTTATAATATTTATAATTTTTCACATTTGTATTTCTTGTATAGTGTAATTTATTGTTTGTATAGTGTCGCTTATTGTCTGTGTATGACAGAGTCTCAAGCTGCCGGAAACAAATTCCATGTGTGCCCCAGCACACTTGGTGAATAAAAGCTGATTCTGATTCTGATTCTGAAGTCATACCCTATGGCTCCCCACACCATGATGCCAAGAGTAATGCCAGTGTGTCTCACCATAAAATTGGCAGGATTAGTCCTCTCCCCTTGTGCTGCCAAATGCACACGACAGTCATCCATGGTAATGCAGAACCGAGATTCATTGCTGAACATGGTATGACGCCACTTGTCATCAGTCCCGTTACGGCACCACTCCAAACGCAGCCGTATGCACTGATGATAACGCAAGTTTACACATGGGATGGTGAACCTGTAGTCCGGCTGATGTCAGTCGTCGAGACACAGAATGACACCAGGTATTGTAGAGAGTCCAATACCTGTGTCTGGATGGCAGGCGCAGATGTCATGGGGTTCTGTAATGCTTCGCGCACAATATGACGATCCTCCCTTAGTGTGGTTTGTCTTGGGTGAACAGAACCTTTACAATGTGTGTGGGTGCCCTCACATGCCCATTGGCCCCAACATTAGGTGACTGTGACATCTGCATGCCCCACATGCCAGACAATTTGTCATGCCCTGATCATCTGCTCCTTCCGTGTGCCACGCCCCCTCGTTAACCCTATGTGGATTCCCCGTGTTAACCCTATGTGGATTCCCCGTGAAGCAGCTGTTCCTGATTGCTGTCATTAGTCCATTGTATTTAGTCCGCGTTTCCGTTTGTTTCCCCAGTCCGGTCATTGTAGTGTCGCGTGTTGTCTTTGGAGTTTCCCCACGAATAAAGCCTTTTTGTTCATATTCATGGCTTCCGTCACCTGCTTCCCGGTGGATCGTGACAGAATGACCGGACTGCGAAAAAAGTGAAGAGGAACCCTGCGGCTAGAACCCTCGCTCTCAGGTCGAGGGAGATCCTCGAGCAGATCTCCCCGCCTGATGACTCGTACCTTGTAACGGAGGTGCGAGCCAACCTACAGCAGTTGAGGGAAGGAGTAGCGGAGGTGATGATTCGGCAAGTTCACCTGGATAGTGGACTACCTCTCCCCCCGCCACCCGGGCAGCCTGAACTCTCCGTCACCCCTGCTGTGTCCGCTCATAGGAAGTAGTGGAAGACTCACAGAGGGGCGGATCCCTTGGGGAATTCCCCTCATCCTGACGCAGGTCCGGCTTACTTCCCCGTGGCCCTTAAAGGGGCATACCCCACAATGCGTGACCCTGCAGTGTTTGTCATGCCCAAGTCGCCGGCCTCCCAGTCCAGCAAACCGGCTCCCGAAGTGCCTACTCTCACTGTACAGGTTCCTGAGATGCCCCCCTCTTCTTGCCTGTGCCAGAGGAGAACCTCCCCAAGAAGGGGACGTTGGCTCCTAGCCCTGCAGCTTCGCCTGCGCCCGGGGCTGGCCTGTCTGCAGTCTCACCTACGACTGAAACCCTGGCTAGACGGTTTATTACCCTCCAGGGTCTGTACTGGCGGGTAATGGGGGAGC